TCCAACAGCGCTTTGAACCCTTGATTCAGACTCATTTGGGCTCGGATTGGGTTGATCTTGGTGTCTTTGGGTTCATATTCCCGAGACGCTCAGTTTGACTGTAAGTTTGCTGAAATCGGAGTTCATATGCTCCCGAAATTAATTTTTGAAGTTTCCAACTAGCTTTTGCCTCGAGATTCGTGCCTGATCAAGCTAATTTTTGGAGTACGTATCAATACGTACACATTTTATGATGTTTACTGTAGTCTATTTGTTTAATTTTGGATATTAATACCTGGCATAACTCCTTTTGTTCTATAAATTCGATAATTCCCCAGCATTTACAAATGTGGTGTTAGGGAAGTTATAAAAAATTGCGCAAATTTATATGAAGATGAGATAACAAGCACACAAAAAGATCTCAAACTTAAGATATTTAAATTTATGTGGTTGGATGATATTCACCATATCCACCGCTCCACAAAGATGAAATACTCCACTAAACTTTTATAGAGGTATATGAAGAGATATTATACTTCATATGAATATTGACAAATATACTACTTTGTGTTAACAATTAAGATGGAATACAATCATCTGTTATGAAGATGATAAACTCGGAGAATAAGACGTTGATAATGCTAATCACTCTCTTTTCTTTTATCTGTTGTAAGAGCTTTTCCTCTCTTCCTTTGTCTCTTTCTCTTCTCTCATTCTTTTTATTTTACTATGATTGTTCTCATTCTTTTTATTTTACTATGATTGTGGGATGCATCAATACAATGCAACCATCTCTTTATATTGTTTGGTAGCCACCATCTTGGAAAATTAAATGTGGCTTAAGTTATGTAGTCAATATCTTGGAAAATGAAGTGTGATTGAGTTATGTAGCATTTATATTGAAATAATTAAGTGTGAATTAATCTAAGTTAGCGACCAACAATCTTCAAAAAATCAAGATAAAATCTTATCCAAGATATTTGTAAAATTAGTTTTTTCCCGGCTTTCTAAAGCAGGTTTATAATATAAAAATTTTAAGTTCAAGAATTATTTGTGCTAAAAAGTATTTTAGAAAGCAATAAGAAAATTGTCTCAAACGAAGCCTTACTCAAACAAGAAATAAGAATTAAGTTCAAAAACTATATAGCAATAAGAAAATTGTGCTAAAAAGGTATACTAACAGATGGATGCACGAGTTTCCATAGTTTCTTTCAAATTATTAAAAAAAAAATGGATTTTACTTTACTCTGGATCTATCAAACCAAACATGAAAAATAATTCTCCTGCATTTATTTTGCAGACAACCAAACAGGTATAAAGTATTCAAAATGCACTGCATTTACTTTACATTGCATTTACTTTACACTGCATTTTCTTTTCAGGCAACCAAACAACCCCTAAGAGAGATCTAAAGTACTATGAAAAGTACTGATATTATACAAGTGACTGAACTCTCATACAAACATAACATAGTGACTATTTATATAAAAATATAAAGTAAGCAATTGATGCTGCAACGCTTGAAAGATCAGTATCGTTGCAGCCAAAAAATGAACTAACATCATTGCGCTACTATTTTAGCTCAATTGCGGCACTTGTTGATGTAGATTAGTTACTTAATGAACCATCATATCATTTTGCTGACAGCTTGTATCCTTTGGAAGTTAAATTGTTACGTGGCACTACTAACTTTCGAATGCTCTGGCGCCAAAATGACAATTTTGGCACCAAAATAGGATAAATTGTGATGTTGCAGCGCTTGAAGATAATGAACATGGTGCTAAAAAGCTAATCACTATGATGCTACAGTGCGAATTTATTTTATCAAAAGTAGGCAAATTTAAAATTTAAAAATTAAACTGATCATATTGTATAAATGATTTTGTATTATACGAACATTAATGAATTACCTAATTTTATTCCATAGTTTAATGAATCAAATCAGGAACAAATCCTAATTAATGATTGTACTATATGATCCATATCGCAGAAGCCAATTAAAGAGAGAGCTTACTGGCCAAACCATAGTTCATCATGGATGATGCATGATTTGATATAAATAATTGTATTGTACTGTGATGGGAATTGAACTAATCAGATAGTATGATTCGAGTATTGTATTGTATAATTAGAAGCTTCGAATTAAAAAAAAATTAGGGTTTTATTTAAATAACCCACTTTATTTAATTAACGTAAGACTTGAGGGTCTGAATTGAGTAGTAAAATATATTTTTCAAGGAGCAAAAGAATTTTAGAGAGGGAGAGAGTCTCCTTGCTTGCAAGAGAGTATCCAAACCACTTGGGAGAGAAAGGAGACGAGGTTGAGGGAGAGTTTTTGTTGAGGCTGTTAAGGGGTGTAAGATAGTCATATGATTATTCATGTTAACCTGCATATTGTGGTTGTTGATCTCTTGAAGAAGAGGTCTAGGAAAAAGTCTTTGGGCAAAATACTTACTAGCTAAGGAGGTTATGAGATGTCATCTCCATCATTGTGAGGAGTGGGAGGGAGAGGCAACTCCATTGAGCAAGGAGCAAAAGGAGAGATTGGCATCTCCGCCTTGCGAGGAGCATGAGAGAGCGACATCTATGCCATGCCGAGTGGATACATGAGGGAGATTCTTCGTGGATAGAAGAGTCTGCAAAGGTTATTCTGCAGCTGGTAAAGGAGAAGGGCTTCTTTGCTAGGCTGGGTGTTAAAGGAGCATGGTATAGTGTAATAAACAAAGAGGTGGATCTTTGGGGAGTGGACATCGGTGGATTTCGACTAAACCATTATAAAAATATGATTTGCATTTTCATTACTTCCATGCATTTTTGGTTTATTTTGCTCATCTTTGTGAACTTTTTGATTGTTGAATCTTTAGATTAAACTCTTGCTTAAAATTAAAAAAAAAAGTTTTCTAGAACGTAAAAAAATATTTTTATTTAAATTTTTTAAGCTTCCATGTATTATTCTCATTTTAAAGAAATAGTTTTCAAAATATCAATTCACCACCCTCTGACGTTTCATAGCTCATATATTATAAAAGATAACTAAGAATCAAATCAATATGAAAAATATTAATTTGGAAATATAAAAATCTCAAAAATGAGAATAAATATTTATTTGGATAAGAATAATTCAAATTAATTAATGGAATGCTAACTAGAAAATGTCTTTTAGATTTAGCATTTATAAAATTAGAATTGCTCCCATAAAAAGTCAATTTTGTCAACGTCAATATAAAATGAAGTAAATCACTAAGCATACACTATGGATATTATTTTTTAGGGTTAAGAATCATTCCACCATAAATTTATCATTTGTGGTATATATTATTATACAGATAGTTAAAACTTGAAAGTGTGAGATTTTTATTGATGAGTTTCGTTTTACTCATTTGAAAAACATTTGAAATAATGGCAATAAGATTGAAAATTTGATGGAGCAAGGGAAAGCTTTGACCAATGATTGGCGACCGACGACTGGAAATGCCCTTCGCGGCTAGCTCCGTCGAGAGCGATGAAACAGAATTTGACGGGTCCTGGACAAATACCCGTTAGGTGCTTGCAGCGATGCGTTCTCCTTTCCACAACTCTTCCCTTTTTCTCTCATAGAAGTTTCGAATCACCCACGAAACTGAGGGATCGGTTCGTGGCTTTTGGGCATTCCTGTGGCGTTTTTTTTTTGGAGTTCCTTTTGCTGAAGATCTCCAGGCCAGATCCGAAATCCTAGGTTGGGTAATTTATTGATGTATCAAGGCCCGCGATTTTGGCTGTCTCAGCTGACCTTGTCTAGGTGAGCTCTCCGGTATCGTGGGAGGTTTCATGTGGTTTTGCGCTCCTCTCTCTCTGCGTGCCCCTACTGGTATGAGGTTTTCGTTGAACCATGAACTGTGTGATGGTATTTATTTGTGCAGGTGTAGAAATTTTGTTTTTCGAGTTGTAATTGCAACTATTTTGGGGCTGGAAATTAGTCATTCTTTTTCAGTTTTTAAATTGGACGAGGTCCCTTTTTAGTTATTGCTGCTTCAATTTATTACTTTGTTGGCTAACTGATAATCGTTAAGGTGGATTTACGAGTCATTATTTATTAATTTTTAGTTAGGTTTTCGTCCGTTTCATGTAAGTGGAGAAGTTGATACTCGAAAAACAAAATACGACTTTCGCTGGTTGCTTGAATTTGCACTGGAGTGGAGATGGTTAATGATCTCCTTTTGTTGCTTGCTAGAGGAAAGTCCATCTCTCTTCTTCCTACCTTGCTCCCTCTCCCTCTTTATTTCCCTCTCGCTTTCCCTCTCGCTTTCCCTCTCTATCTCTCTCTTTAACTTTTTCTTCGTATTATGGGTGCGTGTGTAGCCTCTCTGCATTTCAGTTTTGTGTTGAGGGAGGTAATATATTTTTTCTTTTTATATGTCATCGCTGCTTTGCTGTATAGATTTCTTGCTGAATTTCGGAAACTCTATCGTTTTGTTATATTAAAGCACCATTGGTTTTTCGTTGGACTTTTTTTTGCTGCAAACCTCTTTCGTTTACGAACAAATGTTTTACCCATGAGTTGTAATGGACAAATGGTTTCCCTGCATTCTAATATTTTGATTGATAAGCGGTTTTGATTTTTGTCTTTTTTTTCTCTCTTGTTAAGGTTTGCTCCTCTTTTTGCTGCTGCTGTCAGTAAGGAATGCAGCTGAAATATTTTTTCAGATCAACTGGGCGTTTGAAGCATGATTGAGAGAAATTCTGCGTCTTGATGTAAATAAATAACGTCTTCCTTAGGGTTTTTAGTGATTTTCTAAAAGAATTTTAGAGGTATTGTGCATTGCCTGTTCCAAGATGGGGGCAAATTGTTGTGTGGCTGCAAGGGACAAAACCTTGCCTAATAGGAATGGTCATGAGGCATCTTCTTACAGGAACATTAGATACTCCCCTTCTTGGAGCTTTCGATGGGACAATAGAACTCACATAGAGGACATTGTGGAAAACATGGTGTATTGTTCTCATCATAACAGTGGAAATGCCACCTCTGAAGTCAAGAGTGCAGCAGATACAGAAACTGATGGCCTTTCTGATGGTGAAAGCCCACCAAAAGTTTTTCCATCTTCCCAGTGGAGAAAGTCCTATGTTGTTGGAGGCTCTGATAAGTTCAAATTCATTGCTGCAGGCAAGTTGTTTGTTTTAATGATGATTTATGCATCACGTGTGTGTTTGTGTCATTGTGAAATGTTATTTAGCTGCTAATCTTTAGCTGCCATGTTATCTGGGTTCTTTCTAATAACTCATTTATAATGTTCTGCAAGTATGAAATATTCAGCCATATTCATGAGCAACTTTTAGAAATTTGGTTAAGAAGGTTTCCAGAATTTGGAAACAGTTTTATTATTCAGGGCATATTCTTTTTTCCGCATTAGCATGATAAGGATGCTAGGAAAGAAAATATTCAGGCATTTTGTTTACTGTAAGGTGGGCTCAAACTGGAGTTTGTTGAATTTAGAAGCCCCCATTTTCTTCCTTTCTCCTTTTATGAATAGTTTCTGTTAATTTAATATATTAAAAGGGTCATAAAGAGTTGTTGCTGGAATTATAGTTTATCTTTAAACAACTTATTGTAGAATCCCGTTCAACAAGTAATCACATTATAGTTACATTTTTAAATGCAGCCGTTGCAATAAATCTGCAATTTATGGGGTCCAAGATATTGAAATGAAACTTGTTTGTAAAGTTCTTCTAGTCCTAAAAGTTCATAACTGAACTCAGTTCTCTATTTATGATAACTATGTGGCATCATGCTCCTTTACTGATCACCTATTGGACAATTTATTTGCTATAATGAATTTAGGGTAATCCTGTATGCGCTTCAAATTTCATATGATATTATAATCCTGTACTTGCATGGATTACATCCTTTTTGCTTGTACATGAAGTTCACTTTGAGTACCCAAATTGGTAGAATTAAGGATTCATAGTGTCTGAAAGCCATCAGGACATGGGTAATCCTTACTACTTAGTTTGGCTTAGTTCTATAATAATCTCCTTTTTTGAGCATGCTCAAACTAATGAGGCATTGATTTCTTCTTATTCTTTCTTGAATTGTTAAGAATACTTCAATAATAGAGGCTTCTTAGCTTATGATAGTTCTTGTTTTGTTGCTTTTTTAAAAGACTATTTTCTTCATTTAAGATGGTTGAAGATACACTATATTGTATTTGTACACGGGTTAGATCACTTGTTGATCACCTTCAGTTTTAGAGCATTATTAGATTTCATAGCAATGTATTGTAGATGGGCTGTATATCATGCTCCTCAATCATTTTTTGCTTTTGTATGACATTTTCTTTGCCTATGGTAGATAGAGTATTACTTCTCCTTTTTCTTCAATAGGGAGGACAAGCATAGAGAATAATTTCTTGCTTACATTGATAAGTCTACCTGTTTACTCTATTGTTATTACATTTGCCACAATATGCTGTAGTAGTTTTTCAATAGAAATATCTTTTATTCTATTGTGAATTTATATTAATGAGCCCGTTCATACAATATCACATAGCCATCAAGAAAATATGTGCCGTTTAAGACGACTTACTAGACATTTAGTGGAGTTGTTGTACATACCAATTTTCATCTTTGGTGCCTTTTAAGTCAAACCTAAATTATAAGGTTGGGATGTGATATCACTGATGAAGTTCTTGGTGATTGCAAACTTAAAGTAACATTCACAATCAGTCTTCGTCTTTGGTACCTTTTGAATCAAACCTTAAAAACCAAAATTTTAAGGTTTGGGATGTGATATAATGCCCAATTCTAATCTTTACAATAGATGGATAGAAATGAGATTCTTTGTCTGTCAGTATCAATGATGGTGTTTGCAGTCTCTTTTATGACTTGTATCTTTAGGGTGACTACTCAACTCATGTATCTTTATTGAACCACATTGCTTATCCTCTAGGATTTTAATTAGAGATAGAGATGGTCATTGGGATTAGCATAGAATTCCTGTCACAATAGCTATTGTTTTTTATCCCCTTTTATTCTTCAAGGAAGAGTTTCCAATGTGCAATTTTCAAAAAAATTTGTTGTGGCCAATTATTGGAAAATGACCCCAAAACTCTCCAAAACAATTTATTTTGTTAAAGAAGAGGAATCAATTTTCTTTTCTTTTTTTTTTTTGCTTATTTCTTTTGGTGAAAGAACCCATATATGTTTCTCGAGTTTTCCCCTTTTGTCTATGTTCTTACGCTCTATGGCAATCGCCATCATATGCGGAGGGTTGAAATCAATGACTGAGAATAGGCGGAGTTCATCTACAATTTGAAAATAAATTCCTAATGTGTACTTTTTTCGTAGTTGTACCTTTACTCTTGCAAGATGTTTATACATCATAATGGTGTGATAATAGAAGTAATGTTGTACTGTTGTGCAGATTTTCTTTTGTGATTCCTCAAATTGTGCCAATTATTTTATAGATCTTTTACATACCTTATTAGGTAGAACTCTTGAAAAGTTAGTTGTTTAAACATCCCCCTAGTCATCGCTTGATGGCCATTCATCTTATGATAGGCATTCCACCTTGCTAGTTTATGATGATTTCATTTCAGTCAGGTGACCTTGTCATTGGTGCTATAACATATAAAGTGAAGTATGCCTTGTACTGGTTGATCCGTGTGTCAAGCTTCTTGGCATCAACTATCCCATGTATATATATAAGACTCTCCACTTTTGAGTTCTTTGAATGGTAGTATCCTTTATGAATGTTAGTCATATCCTCATCATCATCTTTTCCAATCATGTTTGCATTTTGCATGGTAGGAGGAAAACTACTTGACCTCTATTTGTAGTGGTTTGATGCGTTTTGGAAGTAAAAACAATAAGGTAACAAGTAGGAAACTTTAGGAATTCGAAGATAGGGACTGATTTTTTATTAATACTTCAACAATAATGAAAGATACAATTGATCTACTATTCGAGAGGTGAGAGATAGATCAGCTCTCTCACAAACCCTAGAGGCTGCTAGGAAACTCACAAAGAAAAAAATATCTCATATACAATCACACAATGAAAATAAGATCACCAAATTAACCCTAATATAAACCTTCATACTTCTCTCCCAAATCTGAATTTAAATTATCCATCTTTCCTTAAATGAACATTTTCTAATTTCCTCCCAATCAAATCAACCATATATCCCTAAATAAATCTTTCATAATTTCCTCCCAATTAAATCAACTCTTTTTCCTTAAATAAATCTTTCCTAATTTCCTCCTAATCAAATCAGTCATTTTTTTCTAAATAAATCTTTCCTAATTCCCTCCCAATTAAATCAGCCCTCTTTTCCTAAATAAATCTTTCCTAATTAGTTCCCCCTTAATTCCTCCTCCTTACATAATGAATGATAGCTCATTCGGCCTGGTTGTGAGCCCCCCTGGCATATCAATACTCCCCGCCAAAGACGCACCTTCTTCTCAAGGTGGAAGGATGAGAACTGTCTCTTTCAACAACAAAATCTGGTTTAAGTTGAGAACCACTTATTCAATTGTCACGATCCGCCCCGGAGACTCGAATTAACGAGGCAGGAACAAACAGTCAAACTTTTAAAACATTTCTTTTAAATTAAAAAATAGTTTATCAACAACATCCCATATAAAAACTGAAGAGCCACTAACACCACTTGCACATTTAAACATAAATATAAACTATATTTTACCTGTTACATTCGGGGCCTTCTTTTGTACATATATTATTCTCTTTCAGTCATTTTACATTTCTTGCTTACAATGTTGAAATCATTATTTTAGGCAATTTGATTGATTTGCTAATAGATTTGATGCCCCTATCACATAATCGGTGAGGCTACTTACATTAAATCTTTCTCCAAACTTTGCATTTTTTAAAACTTTGTGCACCAAGTCCAAAAATTTAATATTTCAAAACTGTTTATGATTACTATATAGAACTGTTTTAATGCAAGTAGGATGCATTTACTAGTTGTACATTTCCTAGCAATTGGAGTTTCTATAATGTCTTGACTGTAATAGGTGGGATTCCGATTTTATTTCTTTTTTTCCGCTTATCCATTTGCTTTTAAAAATGAGAAAAAAGATTTATGTAGTCGACCCCACGTAGTGGGACAAAGGCTTGATATTGTTGTTGTATCCACTCGCTAGCAGATTTATTTTCTTTTTGTTTTGTTAATAATCCAAATATGAAGTGCATATTGTTCAGTAGTCAAATAGTTTTGGTTTGTGATTGGCATTGTGTACTCGAGCCTTGAAAGGACTCCAGAATTCTCAATTCATCATGGTGCGTCTGCGTTTATCCTGCTAATAATCTTTAAGATTTGAACTGTCATGTTACTCATTTTTTCTTCAGCTTCTGTCAGCTTTCTTATGCGAACACAAAGTTACTGTTTGTTAATTGCTTATGCTTAGATATAAATATAAAGCTGCTGAATACAATTTCCCGATGTTGTGTTTTCTTTATGTATTAAGTTGGCTGTTTTCATGCACACATTACATGATAGAAAAGTGAATGCTCTGGTGTCTTGTGTGATAACTGATATTATATTTGAATTTTAGCTATTTTGTTTCTCTTGATAATGTTGTAAGAAGAATCTAACATTAGAAAAAAGTGAATAGCACTTGATCAAAGGTTTTGTTTGTTTACCAATTTATTGTGGGCCTTCTGGGTGGAAAAATCATTAAATCTTTATATAAAAAGACCAGTAAAACTGGACAAAAATATTTTAATTCAGAAGATATTAAACAATACGAAAAATAAAAACACAAATTAAAACTCTACCAAAATTAACCTTATCCTTAGAATCAGATTATAAAATTGTAGTAGTAGATGCATCTCAAGATGGTTAGGGAGCAAAATTAGAAATAAAATCTTATAAAGAAGCATTCCAGTCAGCAGAAAAATTATGTCGATATGCTTCAGGAAGTTTTAAACAACTTCCCAAATCTTTAATCTCTCTAGGTTATGAAATTTTAGAAGTAATAAATGCGTTACATATTTTTAAATTATTCTTACAAAAAGAATTTACTATTAGAACAGATTGTGAAGCCATTGTTCATTTTTATAAAAATAAAAATGAAAATAAAATATATAGTAAACGATGGGTAAATTTTATTACTACAATTGAAGGAAATGGTTATAAAGTAAATT